GGCCCGGCCCGCCACGGGGAAGCCACGGGTGGCTGGTGCCTCCCCCTCTGCCTGGTGCTTGTGCCCCCACGCCAGCAGAGATCAATCCCTCCAGCTGACGAGCTGGTCTCACCAAAGGTGTCACATCTGCCCACTGTCTCCTGCGCATTTGTAGGCTCCCCTCAGGGCTAGGGCCCAGCCCTGCCCCTGGGCTTCAGAACAGCTGAACCCCTCCGCTGCCTGGCTTCCTCTCGTTAGGGCTTCAGGAGCTCTGAACCCCTAGGCCCCCACGCCAGCAGAGATCAATCCCTCCAGCTGACGAGCTGGTCTCACCAAAGGTGTCACATCTGCCCACTGTCTCCTGCGCATTTGTAGGCTCCCCTCAGGGCTAGGGCCCAGCCCTGCCCCTGGGCTTCAGAACAGCTGAACCCCTCCGCTGCCTGGCTTCCTCTCGTTAGGGCTTCAGGAGCTCTGAACCCCTAGGCTGTCCACATCCTGGAAAATGGGAGGGAAAACACTGGCAGACTCTCCTTCTGCCTCAGTGGTGAGGTATAAGGGGTGCGCGTGCACCCCGCGAGAGTGTCGGTCACCCTGCCGGGCCACGCACCCCGCATAGGCAATGGGCAGGCGGGAGTGCCTGTGCCCCCCTGCAAGCATCAGCCAGGGAGTAGGGGTGCTGGATGAAGCACCGTGGCACTTCTGGGAACACCGCAGCCGCTTCCTGGTCCGCACAATCAGCCGCAGGAGGATCCCCACCCCGGGTCAGCAAGATTGGCCATGAGGGACCCCCCACTTCTGTCACTGACTGGTCACTGGGGGGGCACGTGCCCCCCCTGACTACAATGGTCGCTCATGCTCTGCCTGAAGAAGGGTGTTTGTGCCCAAAAGCTTGCAAAGAACAATTTTTCCAACTATTCAGTTGGTCTAATATAAGATATCGCATCTACCCAAAGAACCTTGTCTGCTTATGTCTTTAGACCCACGCAGTGACAACCAACAACCCCAAAGATCACCCAGCACTAACAGTATTTATACACAGGGGTGAGACCAGCTTGCCTGTAAAAAAAGTGGCATGGGTAAAAAAAGCAAGCACTGGACCTGTCTGCACTAACCCCTGGGCTGTCCACGTTTAGAGTCCTAGAAAATGGGTGGAAATGAGTTAAACTACATAAGATAAACTAAATGAGGGGACCTCAGGAGGTCACTCAGTCCAGCATCCTGCTCAAAGCAAGACTGCTCCCAACTAGATCACTCCAGACAAGGCTTTGGCCCAGGTCTTAAAAATCTCCAAGGATGTTGATTCCCCACCCTCCCTGGGTAGCTGGTTGCAGTGCTTTACTATCCTCCTCTTGAGAAGGTTTGTCTTAATACAGGTTTCCCTCGCTTTTTGCTATACGTGTGTTCTTGGAAAACGACGCATACCTCAAATGTGCATAAAGGGAACCCACTTTCCAATGTAACAAATAGGGATATGTTCAAAGACCTCTACTGCATGAACCCCCAAGCCCATTTCTACCACTTTTACAGGACAATTTTGGTCCTCACCACCAGCAGACAGTACACACAAGCACAGGGCACTATTATAATGGGGATGGCAACTACAGAAACATGTCGCAGACAACAAGCGAGGAGCACAGATCCACACAGGAGAGACTATATTTTGGTTCGTGTCACTCCCACAATGCACCACACAAAGCAGCTGACTGCAGGCTTCCATCACACCGAATGCATAGGAGTGAATTTACCTCATATATAATGAATTTTTGGTATAGAGTGTCATTGCAGAAGAGCGAATAAGCCCTTAGGCATTGGCAATGCGTAGGGGGTGCATGTGCACCCCCTGAGACTGGCAGTGAACCTCCTGCAAAAAGCACCGCTGACACTGCCAGCTACCCACCCCCCCAGGCCGCAGCCACCTGCAGGAGCTCACCGCTCGCTGCTGCCACGCTCCCACCACGGACAGCACCGCTGCCGCCTGCAGGAGCTTGCTGTGCACCCCCAGACTCTGGGGGCATGCAGCATTCATGCCCTTGGATACCAACATGGCTCCTTCCCATTCCCAAAGCATCCCTGGGGTCTGTACTGTATACCCCTCCCAGTCACTCCTGTGAGGTAGTATGGCAGTGCTATTCCCACTTTTCTACCTCAGGGGACTGAGACCCACACATTCAAATAAAATCTGGATAAAAACCGCTATAGATGTTGTTACACATTTTCAAGCACTAACTTTGTAGCTGGTTGGCTCCTATAGCTGCATGGTCATTTTTACGGTGTGATGATTTGCACGTGTGGCTGGTCTAAATTTATTGCACATTTGCCCTGTTAATTGTGTGATAATTCCTTTGCACTTGTGGCTAATCTCACTTCGCTCTTGTAGCTGGTCTAAATTTATTGTGCCATTGACCAGTCAATCCCATAATACATACAATGTATAGCAGGGGCCTGACTCTGGAGAGACAAGGTGACAAAGAAAGTTTGCAACAGGGAATTGGAAACAGATCTCCCAGCAGCCTCAACATAACACTTGAAGCACAAGATTAACCTTTGCCTGTCTCAGGAGGGAGGCTGACAAACTATCCCTCCCATTGACCTCATGTCTCAGCATTTCTGAAACTCTTCTGATTTAACAGTGCTAATAAATCTTACCCAGTTCTACCACTCAAGTGCTGAGAGCAGTTTTGTGGGCACATTTGGCAGCACTGCGCCAGACAGCCTTGCAGAGCTATCACCTCCACTGTAAATAAAAGCCAATGGGAGTTCCTGACAAAGAACTGATGTTTCCTCTGTCCGCTGTTTCTGTTTGGAGAGAGCATTCCTAGATCTTTACTTTAGTCAGTGTTTTAAAGCTCTCTCTTTATTAGATATATATTGTAGCCAAAATCCTTTTCACAACTGTATTGCTCATTGCCAAACATGCCACGTGAGTGCTATACATAAGAAAATTCATTAAACACTGAATGCTTAACAGAAAAATATTCCCTGGTTTGGTGGTCGTGTTAAGTATTGACACCCAATCATTCTGCACTCTTTACTCAGACAACACTCCCTTTATTTCTATGAGCGTTTAGGGGTGGTAATAGGTCTTAATTTAAGCATACAGGTAAACATTTGCAGAATCATGGCCTAATTCCACTGTTGCATACATTCCTGGGACTGTCATGCTACGGGCTATTTGCAAGGCCACAGCAAACATGTTTCCATTAATCTTCTATTAGACTGCTGAGACTATCATGGGAGTAACGCCAAGCTATGTTTGCTAGGCCTTACAGGGGAATGGTGGATGGTAAATCCAGCAGGAAGGATGTCTGCAGGCCTTTGACTTTTTTATGTCAACACACAAGCATTGTAATTTTCATCCAGTGATTGTTTTTCTAGGTGTAACTCAGGGGATGAGGTATTTAGCTATGAACCTAAATTAGGTGCCATTTTAGATAACCTTTACAAATGTTGATGATCTGCCTTCCAGTCAGCAATCTAATCTGTTCTTAGCAACTTCCAGTGTTGGTAGTATGTGGCCCCAGACAAATAAGGATTTGTCATTCCATGCTAATCCTAGGTAAAAAGGACACCACCACTCATTTCCCCATAAATCATTAGGAGGTTAGGGAGCAAGTGATATTAAGAAAAGCATGCAGGAGATTGGTTTTTCCTTGATATTATGGCAACAATAGAATACACGTAGTAAATTCTAGCAAATTGAATATTTTAAGATCTCTTAAGATTACTAACATATCTGTCACCAACAAGCACATAAAAAGCCAAAAAACCTACTAAATAAATCCTTGCCCAATCTTTGCAATTATTTCATCTCCAAACTATCTTAACCACCTCACCTCACACAAAATTAGCCCCTTCTACTCTTCATGAATCAGACAACTTTGAACTCTTGTTATAATGTGGTGCATACAGCTGGATGTTTTCTAAATGTTTGCAATGAATATTGAGGTGAGATGGTTTGTCAGTTGATATAGGGTTTTTTAGTTGACAATTATATTTAAGATTTCATAGACATTAGCACTGGAAGGGACCTCGGAAGATCGAGTCCAGCCCACTCCCTAAGGGTATAGTATTGAATGACTATTTTAGTGAAAGTATTTTACGGTGGTTTATATCAATCTGAAAAATCATTGTTTGTGGCATTATTTTGTTTTGCAATGAGGAAGCATAATACCTTTTTCACAGATCAGGTTTTGTAGTGAGAGTTAAGGTGGCATAGGTCCATGATGATATGCTAATAAGGTTTAGACTCATCAATGGTTTATGGACTCATCACCAGGGATCCTGGTTTTCCCTGATAAAAAAAAAATTTTAAAAATCACGAATTCTGTAATAAACCCCCCCGAATCCATGATTAAAATTAAAGGTCCCCCACAGTTCCCCTGGCCCTGCTTGTGCCCCTCACTCCCGCCCACAGCTCCTGCTCCCCCAGCCCTGTTGAAGGGGGGCCCCAGCTCCCAGGGCTATGGGGCCAGGGGCCAGGATCCACAGTCCCCTGCCCCTGGCAGGAGGTGACGGCTGCTGCAGCGGAGCAGAGCCTGGCTCCCCCCTGCTACCTGTTGCAGGCTGGACAGGGAGGGGGGATGGCTCCCCGCAGCGGTGTGGTAAAAATGTCTCATAATCTCTTATGCAAGCTGCACAAGGCCTTATGGCCTTGTGTGGGGGCTGCTTTTTCTTTTTCTCCTCCTGCAGTAGATAAGCAGTGTCATAATAAGAAATAGTCCAAGCAACGCTCGCTTTGTGATAAGGTTCAAAGCTTCTTGTTAGAACACCTGAATTTTGTAATCATCATACTCGCTCATTATCCTAGAGTTACACCAAAACACAAGGTTACTAAGGGGCACATAGGTCGGGACTGCGTGTGCGGCAGGTCTTTTTGCCGCAGTTCCGTTTTAGGACTACGCATGTACTAAACTTTGCAGAAAAATATAACCAATCACGTTGGAATCTTTTGGTTCAGGTTTCATTTTATAAAAATGAAACCTCGGGCACGGCTCGGGGTCGACTTTGCTTTGAGCATTGATCTCCACTGTCGATCTGTTTGCGTAAACAATAAAATGGAGTTGGACCCAGCCTGAGTGTATGACTCTCTCCTTGAGGTAAATTGGATTAGCCTCCAGGAGCACGAAACTAGCAACTTGTGCAACAGCGGCATGCACTCCCGAGCAGCAAGGGGGACCCAAGCCCCCCAAATCTGTGAGCAAGGTGGGGGCGAGCTCGGGCTGCGTACTGTGGGCTCCTGCCCTGCTGCCCTCCCTGGCGCCTCTGCAGCCTGGCGGGTGCGACCTGGTGCTGCAGGGCATAGTGTGGTCATGCAGGAAAGCTGCTTGCAGCTGAGCTCCACGCTGCCCTGGCGATGTGCCCCCTGCACACACAGCTGCAGTGAGGGCAGCAGCATGGGGTTGTGCCCCTCAAAGCTGCCACACATGCACGGGACACATCGGCAGGATAGCACAGAGCAAGCAGCTGCAAGTACCTTTTCTGTGCAGCCATGCTCTGCCCTGCAGCATCAGGTGGTGCCCATTGGGCTGCGGAGGCCCCAGGGGAGGGTAGCAGAGCAGGAGCCCACAGTGCACAGCCTGCACCCACTTCCACCCCATGCACAAATCTGGGAGACGTGGGTCCCCTCTGCCCCCGGGAGTGCACACAGCGGTGGGGAGCCAGCCTTGCCCCTCCTACCCCCCTAGACGAGCCACCCGTGGCCCTGTTCTGCTCCCTGCTTGAGCCCTGCAGCCACACATTGTGGCCCTAGGCCCCAAGCCTCAGAAACTGCCCAGCTGGGCAACACCCCAGCCCTAGCCCTGCCCAACTCCCTCCCTACCCACCTCTCCCCAGCCGCTTACCTGCGGGAGTTGCTCTCCAGGCTTCCTGGGGCCATGGGCATATACATGCACATGGCACTCCCTGCCTGACCACCCTCCTCCTGCTCCCCCCAGCCCCCTGCAGGCTGGGACGCTGCCAGCCTGCAGGGAGCTCATTGCAAAACTGCAAAATCCGTGGGTTTCTCTGGTAAAATGAGAAATCTGCGTTTGCCTCTGTTAAAAGGTAAAATCCATGGTTTATTCCATTTTTCCGTGGGAAACAGAAAACCTAGATCCCTGCTCATCACAACCACCAAACAAGCAGTAATGATAAACTGCACATCCACAACTAAACCCCTGACAAGGATCAATTCTCTCTCTGGTCCTTTTCTTTATCTTCAGGCAATCAGTGGGAGAAATGGACAGAGGACATGCACTCAAGTGCCAGTAGAAGACAAACAGCTCCCTATCTATCCTTGACCTATCACTGCACCAATACTGTTCAGCTCACATGAGAAGAAAACCTGACTGAAGCTGAAAGTGACATGGAGGAGGCTATGCTGGTGAGGACAGGAAAATACTTTCCAAAATGCAATCATTTTCAATTGAAAGTATATACTTGCAATTGGTCAAATTTAAGCTGTGTATAGGAGTGCCTCTGGATTTCTCACAGACTCCAAGGTCTCACAACTAATGTTTTTACCACCTGTAGTTGACTAGAAGATGCCATCTCATCCTGGCTGATGATGACCTGGCTTTGGATTTTTGTGCCTTAGATATCTCTTGACTTTAGTCTATAACAATGTAATATTAACAGGCTTGATGCCTTCAAGTCTTAGGAAACTCTACCGAACACAGGACACTGCAGTACATATCCCAAGCAATACTGGCTACTCTAAATATGTTGGACCTATCCTCCAATCTTTAAACTGGCTTCCAATAGGATACTGAATCAAATTCAAGTCTCAGTTTTTATATGCCTGTCACTCTAGGGCCGAAGCCCTAGAGTTAGGCCAGCATGCAGCCCACAAGCCCCAGCAGCTGGTTCTCCCACTGCTGTGCAGCAGAGGAGAACCTTGGGGAAGCTGAGCACAGGTGCATTATGATGTGCTAAAAGGTCCTGTGATACTGGTAGGGTGGCCATCATAGAGGACAGTTCAGTTATTCTCTGTCCTCTACAAGAGGAAAATAGAGGACATAAAGGTGTCGGGTTTTGTATCAACAGAGGACCAAAGTAGCAGAAAACCAGAATGTCCTCTATGATGGCCACCGGTACAGTCCATGTGGCAGATGTGGTCCACGCAGTGGAGGGGGCCCTGTGCTGCCAACCCAGGGTGGAGTGACTGCCTGTAGTAGGGAAGGATCTTAAGGGGAGCCCTCCACAGCATGGCCCATACACTGTGTAGCCTAGTGGCTGCATGTCATTGCCACCTGTGGTCCCTGACTGCAGCATATTTGGACAGCCTGAGTTGCCAGATGTGAAGCCGGAGGCAGCATGGAGTCGTCACACCACTTCACCTGGCTCCGCGAGGCCCCCCAAAGTGTGGGGCTCAGGGTAGTTGCCCCAATTTGGCCCCCACTAGGGACAGCCCTGGTCACTGATGCAGGAAGAAAAACATTCTTGGAAACAAGTCCTAGATAGTGAAAAGAACTCACTTGGAAACTAGTGAAAAATTGTGATCCTTATCACTTTCCGTTTCAAGTGCAAGGCGAATTTCTATGATGACATCTTCTTTAAAACAAAGCAACAAATAGGACCATGGTGGTGTGAAGCTAAGGTATACATCAAAGAAATCCAAGACAAAAAAACACTCCAGAATGTTAGTACATATGCCCAGAAATTAGGAAATCTGAGTTAAATTCCTCTCTTCACCCTGAGGGTATTCAAATCCCAAGATCTCAAAATAGTGCCTTAATGACCAGGTTAAAAGCAAGGCTGTGTTGAAGACACTTTCTACCTGTCTCATGGAAAATGACACACTATTAATTTATTAGAAGTACAGGCCACCCTTTCTAAAAAAGGCTTGAGGCAGCTTGTAATAAAACATTAAAAAACCCAAAGCAAAACCAGAATACAATATTTTAAAGAATGTAACAGAACTAACTTCCCCTAAAAAAAAATCCTCAAAAGCAATGGGGAAAGGAATGCAAGATTCATGGAGCAAACAAGGACTCTGACTCTATAGCACAGTAAAGAAGGCACTCCCCTAGGGTCTGGTCCCTGCTGCAAGGATTGCTTATGCATTTTGCATTAAATACTCATTGCATAAACAGCTGTGGAAACAGAGACTCTATCCTTGGACTCCTTCTCTATCAGGTGAGTGGCCTCATCAGTGAGCTACATACTCAGGCAGCCTCTTGTTTACTTTCCATCTGGAATTCGTTCTGGGCCATAACCAACCTTCAACAGAATGGGTAGAGGGGCCCTTCAGCCCAGAAGAACCTCTAGCCTGGTGGTGAAGACATTCTGCAGGGAGGGAATCTCTTGGTTTGAATCCTGCCAAGCTGAAGAGGGAATTAAACCCAGGTCTTCTACTTACTCAGTAAGGGCTCTAATCAGTAGGCTATTATGCAAGAAGGCAGGCAATGGCAGGACTGCTGCAGCTTTGTCCTCCAGCATTTTTATGAGAAGTGGCTGTGAGTGCTGAACTCTGTTTTGTCAGTCATTGCTGATGTGTTCTGAGATGCTAACAAATTGGGCCCTGACTAGGTGCACAGATATATAGCCTAAGTACAGACATTCATAAAGCCCCTGGAGGAAGCGCTATGACTTATGATGCTTTACTCAAAGAGCTGTAAGTTAGAATGGGGGCCATCCAAACAGAAATTAGCTGTTCCCTGGGAGGGCTTGCAGCCTGCCCACAATGGCCGCTGTGGGTGCTCTGACACCTCCCAGGAGGCTGCCAGAGTGGCCCTTCTCCCCAGCTCTGCTCCCTTGCCAGCTGGCAACTGTCCAGCTGCTGCCTGGCGGGGCTGCTGCAGGAGGAGAGATCCTGGAGCCTTTCTCCTGCAGCAGTCCTGGGCAGGCAGTGGCATGCTGCTGCCAGGCAGGGG